TGTTTTGAGAATGATGAGGGCAATGAATGTACAAATGCGCTTTACACAATTGATGTGTGTATGGATTGTGATAAGAGTTGTATGAGCCCCTTATAAAGTGATTTAAAAACAACAAAAAAATAAAGAGGAAAGCCATAAAATCTTGTTAAGTAGGAAAGAATAAGAAAGCAAAGAAAAATTGACAAGAAAATTCATAAACAAAAGTAAAGCAACATAAAATTTATGAAGAACAAAGAAATCAACACCACCTTAAAAAATAACAAAATGACACCAATAAAGCCATTCCTATCACAAACAAAATTGAATAAAAATTGATAAAGTTCACCAGTTAAGAGAGAGTCGCAGAATGGGTAAGAAAACACGAGGCATTACTATACTGGTAAAAGCTAAAGGTTGTCTAAATAAAGCAGGATTAGCAATATTAATTTCTGATAAAATAAACATCAAGTTATCTATGCACCCAAAAGTCCTCAAAATAATTAGTCAAAGTCTTATAGAATTGAAGAGATAAATACATCATGTACAATAAAACTAAGAGACTTCAATACATCACGTTCAAGCAAAGACAGATCAACTAGAAAGAATATCAACAAAGATACAGAAGGACTAAATACAATTAATTAACTTTATCTCTTAGACATATACAGAACATTTCTCCCAACAACAGCATAATATATTTTTTTCTAGTGCCTATAAAATGTTCTCCAGAATAGATCATATGTTAAGCCATAAAGCAAGCATAAATAAAATTTAAAACACTGAGATATTAGAAATAATTTTTTTCAGGCAACAATGCTATAAGATTAGCCTCAACCATAGGATGATCAACATCCCCCTCAAAAAAAAATTAAACTCTGGAAATTAAACAGCACTTTACTTATAAAACCACTGGGTGACTGAAGAAATAACGAGCACAATTTTAAAAATTACTCGAAACAAATGAGAAGGAAAATACAACACATCAAAATCTCTGGCACACAGCAAAAGCAAATCCTCAGATACTAGAACATGAATGATAAAAATTAGAGCAGAAATACATGAGTCAGAGTAGAGAAAAACAATAGGGGAAAAAATCAAGACAAAAAATTGGCTCTTCGAAAGAAAAGGATCATACCAAACTCATTTTATGAAGCAAGTATAACCCTGATAGCTAAACCAGGCAAGAATATCCCCAGAATTGAAAATGATAGAATATAGATGCCAAGGTTGAAAATGATAGAATATAGATGCCATTAAGAATGTAGATGCCAAGATTTTCAACAAAATTATAGGCAACAGAATTCAACAAATAGAAGAAAAATACATGATGATCAAGTGGGGTTCCTACTAGGTATGTAAGGATGGTTCAACATTAGAAAATCAATCAATGTGATCCACCATAAAACAAAACAACCATATGATGATATTAATTGATGCAGAAAAGGCATTCTTAATTAAAAAACACTCAATAAAATAGGAATAGAAGGGAAAATCCTCAAGATAATATGGACCATATATGCAAAACCAACAGCCAGCATTTTATTCAATGGAAAGAAACTGAAAAATTCCCTCTCTGAATGGGAACCAAACAGGGTTGCCCTTTATCACCATTCTTATTTAATACAGTCCTGGAAATCTTAGCCAAAGCCATAAGACATCAAAAAGATCTTAAAAGCATCCAAATTGGCAAAGAAGCAGTAATGCTCTCTCTGTTTTCAGACAACATGAGAAAACCCAAGAGATTCAATTTTTTTAAATTACTGGAACTGAAAAATTTGGCAACATACTAGGCTGGCTACAAGATGAACATAAAAAATATTGGATTCTTGTACATTAAGGAAGAGGATCCCAAAAGGGATCTAAAAGAACAATACCATTTATAATAACTACCCAAAAGATAAAACACTTAGGAACTCTAACCAGAGAATCAAAAGACGCAAAAAAATGATAAAATGCTTCTACAAGAACCAAAAGAGATTTATATAGATGGAAGAATGACCTATGCTCACTTAATATACTGAAAATGTCAATATTACCAAACACTCTATAAATTAAATGCAATTCCAATCCAAGTCCCCGCACAATTTTTTAAAGAAATGGAAACATTAATCACCAACTCCATGTGGAAAGAAAAGAAACTCAGGATAAACAAAACACTACTAAACAACAACAAAGCAGAAGGGCTCTCATTCTGATTTCAAAAATAATTATACAGCCACAGTAATCAAAGCAGCTTGATATAATATAGGCAGAATAACAGATAGGCAGACCAACAGTTACAACACAGAACACAGAAATACAACCAAGCACATATAGACAAATGATTTTTGATAAAAGACTACAATACATTATATGGGATACAGATCATCTTTTCAATAACTGGTGCCAGAGAAATTGGATCTCAAACTTTCAAACGAATAAAACGGGGTGGGGGTGGGGGAGACAATAAAATGGTTTAAAGGAAAAATAAATAAATAAAACAGGACTCATCCCTCACACCATGTACAAAACTAATTCAAGATGGATTAAAGACCTAAATATAAACCCCCGAACTATAACAAGCATTAGTGAAAAAAATAGGGATAAGCTTAAGGGACCTAATATAAGGCAGAAACAGACTAAAAACCATAATGAAAAATGCTGACACTACAGAAGACAAAATAGAGGATTGGTACCCTCAAAGAATATGACATGTATGTATATCAGAAGACTTCATCAAAAGAGTAAAAAGAGAACCCACCGATTGGGAAAAAATATTTGGCAATGGAAAGACAGGGCTTTCTACTCCTATTAACAGTTGCTGTCTCGGAAACTCATGGGGCAGTTCACTTTGTCTTATAGAGTTGCTATGAGTCAGCATCCATTCGATGGCAGGGAGTATATCTGATAAGGATCTAATTTTTAAAATATATAGAAAATGACAACACTTTAACAAGAAAAACACAAATAATTCCATCAAAATGGGTATAAGGTATGAACAGATACTTTACTAAAGATGACACCCAGGCAGCCAACAATTAAATGAAGAAATGCTTGCAAGCAAATTAAAACAATGATGAAATACCACCTCCCACTTAACAAAAAATTTAACCATCCAGAAAATAAGAAATACTGGAGAGGTTGTGGAGAGATTAGGAAACTCAGACATTGCTGGTAGAACTGCAGAATTGTACAGCCAGTATGGAAAACGGTATGATGCTTCCTTAAACAAATGAAAATAAAAATACCATATGATCCAGCAATTGCTCTACTTGGTATATACCCTAAATAAATAAAGATCAAAACATGAACAGATAATTGTATAACCCATGTTTATCACAGTAATTTCTGTTACAGCAAAAGGATGGAAACAATTAAAAACCCCATCTGGACAAAATTGGATGACATTATGCTCGGCAAAGTTAGTCAATCTCAGATAGATAAATATTCTAACGTACCATTATTACAATGGGGCATGGCAAGGAAAATGGTTTGCAAACTATAGGAACAACCTTCAAAGACTATGATGAGGTGGGAGAGGGAGACGGGAAGGAGGGTGAGTGGGAAAAGAAAACAAAGAAGAACACATACAAAGGGAGGTGGTTTTCTGGAGTACTGTCACGGTTCCTATGAGACGGTCTATGCAACCACATGTAGTATGTTTTTCTTTGTCTGTGTTATATTCCACAAAGAAAAGGGAAAAAGAATACATTCACATGTTTTTAAAACCCTCCTGATTTGTTGCCCATCAGATCTAAACACTGGTCTGAGTGGTTATAAAAAGAGGAAAAGTACAATTGAAACGAACTTCAGTTCTTTTGGGACACACGAGCTAGTTTCAAACCAAAAAAACAAAACAAACCAAAGGTTTTCTTATCAAAAGAAATAGACTTTGATGGTTGGGGGGTGGGAAAGGGAAGGAAAGTGAAGCAGTAAGTTAGAGGATAGACAGGTGTTAACTTGGGTGACGGAGAAGTTGGTATTACACAAGAGGGAGGAGAGAAATCAAAAAGGCGGGGGGTCAGAGCAAGTTTTGGAGGGGGTTGATAGGTAATTTAATTTGTTGAATACAAAATTAATTATCTGAAATTATCCCGCCTAATTCACCACACACAAAAGAGTTTTTTTAAAGATGTAGAAACTCGGAAACCAAACGGAGTAGGTCTACTTTGTGCTATAGGGTCACTCTGAATCAAAACAGACTCTATGACAATCCATTCCTGGGGTTTTATTCAGAGTAAGTGCAAGGTCAGTGGTTCAAAGCCACCAGTGGGAGCAGGAAAAAGATGAAGCTATCTGCTCCCCACAGATTTATAGCCTCAGAAATCTTAGGGTCACTATGAGTCAGGATCATGGCAATGGGTTGTTCATAATTGTGTAATTACAACTGTACCCCAATTGCCTAAAACAAGGTCTGATATAAACATAGACCTAGTGAAAGTAATTGCTATTAGAAAAGGGAGCAGGGGAAGATCTGGTGTCAAGCAGACATGGGTTCAAATCCTACCTCAGTCATTTTCAAATTCTACCTCAGCCGGTTATCAGTCGTTTCTGAGGCTGTACATCGATAAAGGAGCAGACAGTCTCATCTTTCTCCCTTGGAGTAGCTGGTGGATTAGCACCAATGTGAAACCCACTGTACCACCAGGGTCCCTATGGCGACACAATTTGCACCACCCTTCCCCTTCTTCTATAAGTGCTCCAGTCATAACATTGTCTCTTCCGAGCCCCAACGAATTCCACTGTGTCTGTGTTTTCTCTGGCTGTGCCCAGGGTGATAAGTCTGCTCCAGTCCCACTTAACAGTACAGCTTCTTCAAAAAGTAGGAGCATGTTGGATACAACAGGGAACCCATGGACCAGAAGGGACACTGTACCCAGAGTATCACAACAAAAAGCATCTTGGCTCTGAAACGCCAAACTCTCTCCACACAGGCCAGAAGGCACGCCAAGCACGTGAAATGTACCTGGTCTCTGTGGCAGAGAGAAGTCTCCAAGTATAGAACAAGTATGTATGTCTGTTGGTCTCCCTTACACACACACCATCACCACTGCCACCACACCATTACTTCCACTTCCTCAATCCTCTGCACCTCACCTTGCCTTCCGATGTTGAAGATGACAAATGAAGCCACTCTAAGGCTCCTGTTTTCTCATGCGTATGTGATGGGGAACCTGGAGAAAGGGGCGGCACTTCAGGTGTGATCTCTGGCTGGGATTAAAGGGAAAGCCCCTGTGATTCCTCACAGGAGTTTAGATGGAATCTGCAAACCCTGCCTACTCCAAAATTACTCTGCCTCCCTTTAGCCCCACCTATCCCCTGATGTGCATGGCTTCTGGGGTCCCCTGGGCATCAGCCAACAAGGCTTTTCCAATTGTCACCTAGCAGGTGCCTAACAAGAACCTTAGGTAAAAAATACCTTCATGGAGGTTGCACCATGTTAAGGGGCCCTCCTCCCTATCCCCTACCCTTACCCGCCCCCCCCCCCAAAAACCCAATACACACACACACACAAATAAATCCAGGTCGTATAAAAATAACGACTGGAAAGCAACCACACAAACAAATGAAAAAGAAAACAAAACCACCCAGAACTTGAGATGTCTCAACTATAGCATCCCGAAGAGGAGTTTCAGTGACAATGAAGACTGATCCCGCCTCAGGATGCTGTACAAGTAAGTGTACACGCTTTCGAAGCATGAGGCTTCTAGGCTGGAAACCATAGGGCAAAATGGCTGGGAACTTTGATACCTGGTTCTCCGTGTGAAAAAAAAGAGGGAAAACGAAACTGCCCTAGGGTTTGGAAACCTTCCCCTGCAGAGACCCCGCGTTCTGAACACAAGTCACCCTTCAGAGTTTGCTTTCCAAAGTTCACCGGGAGAGGTCGAGGTGAGCCCAGGTGATGACATTTAAACAAACTCACAAAAAGCAGGCGACCAAACGTAAAGAAGGCGCGCATCGGAGGGGCAGGACTGCAGGAGTCTCCAACCCCGTCATCCGGGGACTGCGCTTTCCTTCACAGTCTGAAGAGACTGTCCTGCGGGCATCTGTCCCTTGTCAGGGGCTGCCCTGCGACCCGGCGCGGCGCCCGTCCCGCCCCCTCGGCCCCGCGAGTCCCCTGCTCACCCACTCAGGTTCGAAATGGTCGTCCTCCGGCCGTGCTGAAAAAGAGATCAGATGAGGAGCCTAGAGTCTCTTGACAAGTCCCCGATGCCAAGGACCGGGTCACCAAGATGCTAGGGCAGCAGGGGCATGCTAAAGGCTAATTGGACGCACGCAGCCACAGCCCTGAGGCCGTCGCGTGCCCAGGACCCTTGGCGATCCAGTTAAGCGGGCGAGAGCACCTCAGTTCCCATTAGCGGGCTCTGACTGCCGGCACCCCCTCAGGATGTGCTTCCAGTGACCTCTGCCCTGGAGGCGTCGAGAGGGGAGCCCTCGAGCGGGCGAGAGCGCGCCCCCTAGTGTGGCGTCAGGCCTAAAGGAGGCGTGTGGGTTCCAGGGAGAGGGGAGAGGACCAGGGAAGGTTGAAGGCGCATCTCTGGCAAGCCTGACTCGGCTGGGGCAGACCGGCGACCCGGCGGCCGGCGCATCGCCCCGCGCACCCCTACCCCCGCCAGCCCCCGCTGCCATCCAGGGGATGGCGTGCCCCCCACGAGGCCCGCACTGCTTCCCTAGGCCGGGGCGGCAGCCCGCCGGCCGAGACGCCGCAGGACGGGGCTGCCTCCTCAGCGGGCAGAGCAGAGGGCATTTACCGGGAGCCGAAGGCACCGTGGCGTCCCCCCTCTGGGCTCCCTCCGTTCAGGCGGTGGAGATGCCGCCGCCTCCCTCCAGTCGCTACAGTCGCTCCTGTCAAGGCTCCGGGTCTCTCCTGGCGACTCCTGCCCGCGAAGCCAGCTGTTGAACGGCTCGCAGCGAGCGCACCCCGGCGCAGAGGCGTGCCCGCCGCATCCGAGTCGCGCGGCGACGCAGGCGCGCGCCCGAGCGCCCACGCCCCGTGCACCCCCTGGCCCGCTGCGGCCCTGGCGACCTCGCCGCCGCGGCCTCCCCGCTGCCGCTCAAGCTCGGGCTCCAAGCGGTTCTGCTCCCCACGGTGGGCTCGCGCCCCGCCACCGCCTCCCCCGAGGCTCCGCCCCCCTCGCAGCCATCCTTCAACCGGCGCGCAGGACCAATGGCAACAATGAACTAGTCCCGCCCCCTGGATTCCCCAGGGCCAATCGTCTTCTCCCAAGGAGCCCGTCAGTAACCCCGCCCTTCGCGCGCTCTAGAGCCCAAGCCAAAGTTTTGCTGGTTGCAGGGGGTTGCTCTGGGTGATTCCGAGGCTGGGGCCCCTAAACGGTGTCAGGAAGATGTAGACGTAGAGGCGGCACCTTACCTGATGTGCCTACTTGCATCAGGCCTCATTCCTTTGGATGTTGTTGTATGCCATCAAGTTGCTTTCAGTGAACCCTATGTGGCAGTCGATCTGATGGATAGATTCCAAATGCCAACCTTTCTGTGAGCAAGTGATGGCTTAACCTTACATTGACCACCAGGGCCCCTGTGTATTGGATAAACAGGGTGCCAGTAAAGGTAGCGAGAGAGGTATGCTCGTTCCTCTCATCCCTAAGGCCAGACTGATAAGACAGGGCCACCTCTCCTCGGCCAAAACAAAAACACTGCACGGGCAGCCACGGCCTCGAAAACCGTCGCTAGGCTAACCCAAAACTGGTTATTCTAGTTCAAAGTACAGGGTCCCTGCCAGAGGAGGCTGGACAATTGCCAGCGATGAGGACTCACAGGCTTGGGAGACAACGGACTGAGTCGCTGCCTCCTCGCTTGAAGCTGCAATACGTCCCCTGGTACCTTCTACCTTCTTCAGGCTAGGAAAAGCTAGCCATGTTCATCCGGGCTCTATTCTTCCAACAACACGAGCTCCGGGCTCTTTTCTCAGTTTACAGCAATTCCTTTATACCCTTTGAAAGTGGAGGGCAGGGCCTGAGTGTCTCTCTCCTCCCGACAGGGGCTCAGACCACTCAGTCATGTCCCTCGTCTGTATGCTAGGCTCTACTACTCGAGCTGCCTAAGGTGGTATTTGCTTTGTTGACTGTCATATGACACAGCTGACTCATACTGGATTTACTGTCACCTTACCCGGGGAGTGTTTCTCCCTCACTGCTGGGAACACAAGCAAGGTTTGCTATTTGGAGTTCCTTGTTAGCACTAGTAGTCAAGAGCTGAGCTACTAACCAAGAAGTTGGCAGCTTGAATCCATTCAGAGGCACTTTGGAAGAAAGGCCTGGCAATCTGCTTTCAAGAGATCACACCGTCTTCAAAACCCTAAACAACCTAGTTCTATCGTGCAACAATGGGGTTGTCTGGGCAGCTGGTTTGGTTTTTGTTGTTCGGATGTGCTTTTCTGGTAAATTTCTTGCATGTGATCATTTCACTTCACTCTGTACTGTCAAGCTCTCTTTGCCTACTCATTCTGTGCTTAATGTTTCTCCATCGCTGCTTATTCCCCCACCTTTGATCGGGCCCTCATCCTCCATCGCACCACAACTGCCAAAGGCTTCAAATTGGGCACCTTGCCTCTTCACTTACATCCTCCCAACTGGCCTCCCTCCTTCCCTCTCCTCATCAATTTCCACCCAAACCCAGAATGATCTTTACACCACAAATATAATAAAATCAGCATATCCCAACTTAAAGGCCTACCCCAGCTGCAATCCCTTATCTACGCCTCTCTCCCCACGCCCATGATGCTCAAGGTAAAAGCCCGCTCGGTGATCTGGCCTCACCTACCCGGCCTCATTTTTAGCTCTTCCACCTCCACTACAGAGCAGGTAACCTGACCTGGCTGTTGTTTCTTGAATGCACATCATCTCAGACACTTCCATGCCTTTTTGTTTTGTTTTGTTTTTGTTTTTGGAGAGAGGCTGGTAATTTTATTCCTTTGTTTGTTGTGCTGTTTTCTTTTCTTTTTTTTTAAAATCATTTTATTAGGGGCTCATACAACTCTTATCGAAATCCATACACACATCAATTGTGTAAAGTGCATTTGTACATCATTCTCAAAACATTTTCTCTCCACTTAAACCCCGACATTAGGTCCTCATTTTTCCCCTCCCTCTCCGCTCCCCCCTCCCTCATGAGCCCTTGATAGTTTATAAATGGGTATTTTGTCATAGCTTGCCCTGTCCGACGTCTCCCTTCACCCACTTTTCTGTTGTCCATCCCCCAGGGAGGAGGTCACATATAGTTCCTTGTAATCGGTTCCCTCTTTCCTACCCACTCTCCCTCTACCCTCCCTGTTTTGCCACTCACACCACTGGTCCTGTAGGGCTCATCTTCCCTGGATTCCTTGTATTTTGAGTTCCTATCTGTACCAGTGTACATCCTCTGGTCTAGCCAGACTTGCAAGGCTGAATTCGAGTCATGGTAGTGGGAGCGGGGAGGAAACATTTAGGAACTAGGAGAAAGTTGTATTTTTCATCATTGTTACATCGCACCCTGACTGACTCATCTCCTCCCTGAGACCCCTCTGCAAGGGGATCTCCAGTGGCCTACTAATGGGCTTTGGGTCTCCACTCCGCACTCCCCCCATCATTCACTATGGTAAGATTTTTTGTTCTGATGATGCCTTATACCTGATCCCTTCAACACCTCGTGGTTGCATAGGCTGGTGTGCTTCTCCCATGTGGGCTTTGTTGCTTCTTAGCTTGATGGCCGTTTGATTACCTTCAAGCCTTTAAGACTCCAGACACTATACTTTTTGACTTCCATGCCTTTTATGAAGCACCTGGGACCATCTTCTCCCAGCCCTCCTGGCCTATACTGCACAGAAGTACCTTATGCATTTATTGAACAAATACGGCATGAGACCTACCATGCATCAATCACCAAAACCAAAAACCCACTGCCATCAAGTCTCTCCCAATTCATAGCGACCCTACGTAGGATTTCCGAGGCTGTAAATCTTTATGGGAGCCAGGTAGCCTCATCAAGCACTGGGGGTAGAAAAGTTTGTCAGACTGGAACGCTGCACGAAGCAGCTTCCATTCACAGACGTCAAGGCAGCTCCATGAAGTCATTGGTTTGGATTTCAGATTCCTGCAAATAACTGGTGGTACAAGAGAAACTGAGGCGTTCACACACACACACACACACACACACACACACACACACACACACCTTTACTGAGTGTCATTACATAAGAATTAACCCAATTCCATTCAGGCTGTCAGTTTGAGGCCTAGAGACTATGACCCCTTTCCTTGGGTTGCTGTGGTTGTGCATCCGGAAGTCCATTTCAATCCACAGGGCAGAGTAGAATGACCCCATAGGCTTTCGCAGGTGTAACCTTTATGGGAGCAGCTTGTCTGGCCCAGGACTGCAAAGCCCCAGAGTGGATTCTGTTGTTCCCAGTTGAGCACTTGACTGTATTGCCTCCAAGGCAAGAACAAAGGTAACAAAAGGCCATTTTGTTATTTTTTAAAGGGTATTTAATTTACATCCGAGCAAACGACAATGGAATTTCCTGAAAGGAACCCCGTCCTAAGTCAGGGACTACCTGTAGCTGCATTCGTTCAGACACTGAAAAGGAAGTACAGGAACGGGAGTGTATGTTATAAAAATGGATCGACTGGAATCATACAATCATAAAACATCAGTGTGAAAAGGATCTTTTAATTTCATTTAGTCAGACCCCACCCTAGATGCTTAACTACTGTGTGGGCAGTTTTTCAGGTTCTTTACAACGTTCTTCGCTCCCTGGCCTCTGAAAGCAGCCTGTGTTCTTATTCTTAAACTATCTGGCTTTCCAGAGCTAAGTTTGCCCTCTCTGGAGTGATTGGAGGGGTGACCAAAATGCTTCTCTGCCCCTTTTTCCCCCCTCTAAAGTTCGGATCCTTAGGATCACCTATTTCCAAATGCAAATCCTACTTGAAAGAACAACCTGCTAATACAGGCCAGTTATTAACACCTAGGCTACAGAAAGCAGCCTGGGTGAATGGGAACTTTTTCTTTAAGTACCTGTGCCATATTGTCAGTTTCAAAGTGTGTTCACTTGCTCTGCCCTCTGTCACCCTCCTAGTAACCCCGAGTTGTTCTTATTAGATGCCGGGGGTGGGGGTAGGGGGGGCTTACTCTTGGAGACTTCGTGCAACAGAGCTAAATAACATCCAGCCTTGCACTGGGAAAGGGTGCTGAGAAGACGATTGTCTTATCTGATCTTTAGTAGATGTCAGACCTTTTCTTCCTAGTCTGCCTTAGTCTGGAAGCCTTCTTGAAAGCTGCTCAGCATCACGACAGGTACAAAAGCCTACACGGAGAGAGGGGCAGTGACAGCACCTGAGGAGCACTGGCTGGGAAGAACCCTAAACCCCCCTCAGGCAAAGACAAGAAATCTAGCACTAAAACACCACAGCCCCTCACAATAACTGGAATCAATTTCTCGACTTCCATTGTTCAGGGAAGGGCGCTAAGACTCCTAGGTTAAATCATTCCTTAGATAATTTGAATTCTAACTCTACAATGAACCTAGGGCAAGTGACCAATGCCACTCTAGACCTCAATTTCCCCATCAATAAAATCAGAGGAGATGTTTGTTCTCTGTGGCTCCTTTCAACTTTGTCTAGAATTTCTCATTGCCTACTGGCTGAGACCACAGAACCTCGGGGTTGGGCCTTCTAAAGATGTCAAGAAATAATTCTGGCACTTGAGGTACTTTCTGGAAAAGACAAACTCTGGTGGATTGCCAAAGCAGGCAGCAAGTGAACAGTAAATATTCACTGCTGTGGAGTCCCTTCTGACTCACAGTGACCCTAT